AAGATTGGAAAGGATAAATTGCAATGTGCCTATCGCTTACTTTTTTTTCAAAATAACAAGTATCGACGGCCGCGGGAGAGAAAGCTCAGAAGCTTGCGCTTTAAAGCGAAAAGCCCGTAATTGCAGGTGAAAAGCAAAGCCAGACGAGGCAGAAGAGGATAAGTCGAATAGGACAATAATGGCACCTCATGCTCGGGATAGTTAACAGCTGGGTTTGGGGTCGTTTCGGGCTGGGGCTCCGGGTCAAGCGCAGACGTCGTAACCTTCTTCGTACTCGACTGATATCGCCTCGAGGAACTCCATTGGGAGATCGAACCCTGATCTTGATATCTCGGTTAATAGACTTGTTTAAGAGTGCCCAGAAGGATTTTCTTGATGTAATCAGTGCCCTTGCTGGCAGGAGACGTTGACGAATCGGCGCTTACTCGCCTCAATGATTAAATAATGCTCGGACTGCACGATTGGCGTACAATTTACCAATTTATATCTCAGCGCTCTTTCATTATGATTCTCTTTCATTACGATGAATTATTGATTATTGATAATTAAAAATAGAAAAGAGTTTAAGGACGTTATTATTGACTTGCATGTTATTCTTGATTGTATTGGTCGATTACATAATAGTGCAATAAACTTGCATATAAACATACAAGTCCAATATCGACAGTGATTTCTGCATTTCAACAAAAAATTAATATAAAAAGAATAATGATATGTTTGAAATACATAATAATACTCTAGATTTAGGCTTTTCATAAGGAAAAATTAATTTTACCATAAGTTAACGAATATTTATGACCAATAAGTACTTGTAACTTATAAAATAAAATATTATATTATATGCAATAATGTCCTCAAAAACTTTTTTAACAATCAAACTTACGTACTACGAATGGTCTAAGGAATATAATACTAATTATAATATTCATAAGAAGTCAAAATGTATTGTTATGCTAAAGCAACGCGTATAATGATAAAAATTAAATACTCTCTTAATTACTATTAAAAGCATTTTGAATTCTTGCACAGCTGAAAAAAATAATAAATTACGTCTTGAATTAAAATGACAATGTAATCATATATTATATAATATAATAATATTTTATTTTCTTAAATAATACAATATTTTAATTAATTAATTAACGAAACAATATGTTCCAAAAATATTATTGAATAATAAAATATTTAAATAAATTTATGTATGTATATATTAAAATATTTATAAATAAATACATAATAGTATAATTTATATTCATAATTTTTCTTTTAACATATTTTCAATACATAAGCGATAAATGTTCTCCGTTATACAATGGGCAAATAGAATAAGAGAGAAATAAATATATTGTTTATATTGTTTATAAATATAGGATTAATTTAATTCAAATCTCAGAACTGATATAACACAACCTTATTAATCATAAATTATATGTATGTAAGGGCGGGGGAGGGGGTTACTTAGGTAAATCCTTTTTTTATTTTACTTTGTGAATTATTCATTACTTCGTATTAGTATAAATATCAAATATTTATGCATTTGCACAATATTGTCTGTATATTATACCAATTTCAAGCCAATGAGTTTTCTTAGTAAAATAATCTCTTTATTTCTCTTGAAGCTTATATATACGTTCGTGAGAGCGCAACGGCACAGAAACGTTGACAATATCACATTTACGAAAACAAAATTCTCTTCTCCCTTAACAAATATAATTCCTAACAAGTGAAACGAGGATCCATTCCGGTACAAAAGCGAGTCGCCGCGTCCGCGTCGACCGTCAAGTTCAAATGTCGTTCAACGTAATTGCATACGCGGGATCGCGTTTCTTGATTTAGTGAATCTCTTTCCGAGCTCTTGCTCTAACTCGTTTGGAGAGGTCGAAAGGAGATAGGACAATTGAGTTTCCCGGAATCGCGTGCACAGATAAAGATAAGGGGACAGGAATTCGAGATGTGACGAAAGAGCGGCAGACGAGAAGAGACGGAAAAGCGTAATGAAGTGAAGCGCTCTAAGTGATGCATTCGAAAAGAATAGAGGATTTACTTGGCGAGGAATCTAAAGTTATTCGGTTTAATATAGTTTCACTAGAAGTTCGATTTCCCGCAAAAGATTTTTCATAAGCATTAGCTGTGTTCGTTTATGAGAGTAATGAATTAAAGTAATACATGTAAAAAGAAATACCTTTATTCACATATCTAAATATATAATTAATATATTTAATAATATATTTTACAAAATTCTTGAGAATATTATTTTCTTAATATTCGTCATATTTTTACTATTTTTAATACTTATTATAAGTACGTAAATGCTTAAGAAGCCATTTCCAATTTTAGAAGTAGTGTCGCCAATTGGAGTGAACATTTACCGGATCGGTGTCAACATATTACAGTGTCATGACAGGATTTGAAATATTGAGAAGAATCCACCGAGTTTCCTTGGACGAATAGGTGAAACTTTACCCATGTCCAATACAAATACACTTATAAACCAATCAATTGTCATGTGCATTTAATATTTTCTTTGTATTTTTGCACTTCTACATTTGATTAAAACGATAAATATAGATTAATTGCATAATAAAATAGTAAGGAATATAAAGAATGAAGAAACTGCAACATCTCCCAAAAACAAATTTTAGAAACTTTTTCATACGTCGAGGATCTGCACAAAGTTTATCGAGGAATCATCAAGGAACATACGAAGAATGCCTATGAAGAGGAATTCACACAATACAAGACGTCGCGAGAAAAAATTAAGAGAGAAGCCTCGCCAACCTAGGTACCGGCACAAAACACCCGACTCCGAAACATTAATCTTACCAATTTTTCAAGAGCAAGCGGAATTACACGCTGATTCCAATTTCACGATCTGATCACGATCTAAAAACAGGTTGACTCATTGACAGATCACCCTAGATCTGTAATACAATTCCAACCTTTGTCAAGAAAAACATCAAATACCTACCAGGTATCAGTAAACAATGCTTAATCTACTCAATCATCAGGATCATCCGAGTCACACGTGTACAAATTTTGCACTAAAAAATATTCTGTATGTAAAAAAACATACCCAAAATTCAAGCAAATGTCAGCATTAGAGAAACAGAATGTGACAAGACATCACTGTCTCTATTTCAATTCCTTAAGATCTCACATGGGCTGCTGAAAAGTTCTATAAAATGCAAAAGTGACTCCATAGAGCACCACACTATGCTATACGAGGAAAGCAAAGCAGCAACTACTAAAGCCAGTAGTTCAAACCCATCATCCAGATGAGATAATGGTGCAATCGTCGAAATACCAGTTCATTCTTAAATATGGTCAGAAACTAATTCCGTACAAGTTTGTTTACAAGCTTGTCTTCTGATCGACAGAGGCTCTGAACTTTCATTGGTAAACGAGAACCTAATTAGACAACTTTTCATTCCTAGAAAAAGTTCAATCCTTCACATTCGTTGAATTGGGGGAGCTCAATTAACTCAAACACAAGGTGTTATGTCATTCACTGTCCGCTCAATCCGTACGAACTCTATTGTCACCATAAAGACTCACATTCATAAGACATTGACCACAGTCATTCCTTCCTTCGAACCAACCTTACATGATTGGCCATACTTGAAAAACTTAACAGTCGCCGATCCGCAATATTTTACATCTCCAACAGTAGACATTATTCTTGGAGCAGACATGTATGGGCAGATCATCAAACCCCACGTCATCACTCGCTCTTCATCTATGCCAATGGTGCAACTATCTATTTTTGGATGGCTCGTACTAGGACCTGTCAATTCCATAAGGACTTCCAAATCCACAGCACACCATACATCAAAACACGATGACGAGAATACATTAAAAGAATTACTAATGCAGTCTTGGGTTCAGAAAGAAGTACAATCAAGCGACGCTCACAAGTATACACCTGAAGAATAGCAGTACGAAAATCACTCAAAAAATACTCACTCACGTAATTCTACCGGAAGGTATATAGTTCAAATTCCTCTGAAAGCATCTGCCAACTATCTCGGTAGTACATTGAACACAGCGTATCGCTGCCTACAAAGCCTACTAAGAAAATTTCGGAGAGACCAGGAATCCGAACATCTGTATCAACAATTCATGAAAGAATATGAAGATATCTTGCTCACATGACGTAGGCTTCTCCCGTCTCCAGTCATCGAATTGAATATTATCTGCCACATCACGGTGTGCTTAAACCAGATAGCAATGGCACGAGCAGAAATCAATGGTTCGAGCAAATCAACATCAGATTTGTTACTCAACGACATTATGCATACTGGACCCATCTTGAATCCAAAAATATCAGACGTGTTGATTTGGATCCGAAGACGACGATGTCTGTTTGCTATCGATATCACAAAAAAAGTACAGCCAGATTCAAATTCACAAAGATATCTGGGATCTTCAGAGAATCCTATGGATAGACGAACAACAGGCAGAAGTGCAATACCATTTTACAATAATCACCTATGAAACAAAGGCTGCTCAGTTTATGACAGTCAGAACATTACTTCAAGTAATGTAGAGGATAAGGGAATTAGATTCCCTCTTGCCGTACCTTCCATCATCCATGGCAGATATGTCGACGACATTTTTGGAAGTGCAAACATCCCAGAACAGCTGACCGAAGTCCCACTACAATTACGAGATCTCTGCATGTCGGGCAGTTTTCCAATGGAAAAATGATGTACAGATGATGGAAATGTAAATTCCAATCAAGTTCAACGATTGTCACACAAAAATACTTGGGATACTATGGTCCCTGCAGCAAGACAAATTCACATTCACGATAGGGAAAGTTTAAGTGGAAATTAATAAGCATACACGATGCCTCGTCTTATTTGAAGTGGCTCAGATATTTGATCCATCGAGGTTTGTCTCACCTGTCGTGATCAAGGTAAAAATCAAGGCAAAGCTGTGGTTACACAATTAAAAAAAGCTCCAATGGGACGAGACTTGCCATCGCAGCTCTTATCACAATGGTTAATCATCAGAAAAGATCTATTAGTTATTTCAGCAGTCATATACATGTCCGTGTAGAGACCTTGCTCATCCTTGAAGAGCTTCACTTCCTCACCTTCTTCACCTTCCTTGCTCAAATCGAGACAATTCTCAACTCCAGACCTTTAGAGCCAATGAGTGACGACCCTGAAGATGTCTCGCCACTCACCCCAAAACATTTCCTTATAGGCAGCTCGCTCACAACTATCCTAGAACCATCTCTCAAGGAGTTGTCAATTTCAGAATTGTATCGCTGGCAATTCATACAACAACTTGCAAAACAATTTTGGCAATCAATTTCCAAATGGCATCATCCGCAGAATGATATCAAAATTGGTTCGTTGGTATTTATCACCGTCGAGCGTTTTCCACCGTGCAAATGGCCCCTCGCCCGAGTAATCAATACATATCCTAGCAAAGATGGGCTGATTAGAGTAATCACACTGAAAACAGCTTCGTATACCATGGTAAGGCCAATACATAAACTGGCAGTGACACCAGTCTCAAATCAATAGGAATAATGATCAATAGAACTGCTGATGATGGATGGAATGTTCGAGATTCCGAGAACCTCTCGAGTGCGCTAGAAATCTGGGAAAAGTCCAAGTCGTTAGACATCTGGGAACAACACCGGTAGCATCCATTGTTGCCAGCTCTAACAAGGCTGTCGTGTAGTATTTAAAGCAGACACGCTTCGCAAAAGCGCTCTTTCTTACTGGGGACACCATAGAGAACAAGCTCTATCAAAGTATGTCCACCATAGAAGGAAGACGCGGCAATACTCCTGTGCTGCAACATAAAGGGTTTTGATACTATTTCCTTCATATCAATAAAATTCCAGACTACAAAAAACATATCAAACCATACACCTTAAAGGAGTATGCACAATAATTGCTGATCCTTACAAGATCAGCAACAAGAAATCGTCACCATCGACAAGGAGCATTCGTAATAGTGAACTATTCATCACATGATCAGATCAAAGTAACTGCATCGTTGTGATACCTCATTCCTCTTTCATCACATAAATTCAACACATCAACAATGTAATTTTTAATAAACCATACGTTAACGAAGTCTGAACGTATACAGCCTTCCACTTGACTCCTTCCGAAACATCTGATAAGATGGACTGCAAATTATTATAAAGTTATCGAACAAATGTGAATAGGTATTATTGAGTTTTGTTTATAATGAATTGATAATTAATAAATAATGTGGAGAGTAAAGATACGTCTGAAAATATTATTTAAGAAATTTAATAATAATCATTCAAACAAATCAGTACAAAAAATCCATAAATAGCCTAAATTTATTTCATACATTTCAGCAATTTATTAAAATATTTTACCTAATTAAGTTGAAATTTTATCCGATCATCAACTATTACAAACTACTAAAAAGTATTTTATATTGATATCTTAAAGCATTACATTCTAACACACGAATTTAATTGGAATTGAATAAAATAGTATTTAAAGAGAAAATTTGTATACATAATGACTGAATACAAAACTAATGGGAACAAAGAATGAAATACAAATTTCTTTTGTAATAATAACATTTTAGATGATATAATATAGTAAAATTAAATTTATGGAAAAATTTCCTCTTTTCACATTCTACGTGATAATTTATAATATTACTCTCAAAGAATATTTAAGCTGTTAACTCATGTAATAAGATAAATCGCAAAACAAGCTACATACAATCAATAATAATATAAATCGTAAGTTTACATCATAATGACTTCATGTTTCTAGTTACACTTTTATTCGATAAATAGCGTAGTCTCACCTTACACTCATGAATAAATTCCATTGATTATAATATTGGATATTGTACAAGTTAAAATTGTCGAAAATTATGAAATCAATCAATGATTCAAGATTGGAAAGCAAATTTTATTTCCAATTAAAATGAATATTATAACGTTTTTAATAAAGCTTGCTAATTTAAATAATTAGGGTAATATTATTTTTAAGAAATATTAAATCTATGAATGAAATATGTTATTTTCAGATTTAATAAATAATATTTCAAGAGTTTCAAAAGTTTAAGGAATTTAAAGAAAATCTTAAGATCATATTCAAATAATGAAATGTGCACTATTTATTAAATTATTCTTGTACTCAACCGCAAACAAACTTTTCATATTCGAATGATTTATAGAATATTAATTGTTTAATTTAGGTTTTGTTAAAATTACATACAAATTTCTGTAATTTTAATAACTTATTTGAGTAGTACTAATAAATATCAAATTATCCACATTGAATTTAGAATTGAATTTTTTATATAATAAATAATTTTTACAATACGTATTTTACCTATAATACGCTAAAATAATTTGAATTCGTTATAAATTATTTATATTCTATATAAGCTTATTTACATATAAATGTACATATAAATGTATACCTGAAACAAAAATAGATGTAAATAAAAAAAATATATAATAACTAATTCAATCTAATTAACAACATACCACGACAAAATTTATAAATCTATATCAATCGACACTTTCTATCATGAATTTTTTCATCTATGAAAAGATTCTGTAATCCTTTCCACCACTGATATAAGATATGTGAATCTTTATTACTTTCGATTTCGGCTAAATTGTATTGTAATTAAATTCATGAATAATTTGTAAATATAATGAATTGTAAAAATATCAAAAATAACTTGTAAAAAATAGTATTATTTTTATTATTATTTTTATTATTATTATTTTTAATTATTTTTATTATTTATTTATTATTTATATTTATTATTATTTTATTTTATTATTAAATAACATATTAAATAATTATAATAATATTATAATTATTATAAATATTATTTATTATTTAATATTTAATTATTATTATTATTATTGTTATTATTATTATTAAAAAATAGTATTAGAGTTTAGATTAGAATTTAGTATTAGAGATTATATTGAAAAAAAATTATAAAGATAATGAATAAAATAATTCGGTTTTTTTATTTGTAAATATTGTAGGTAAGATATCAGAGTTAAAATTCATTATTTGAATGAGAGATTTCAGATTCAAATTCAATACTAAATAATAATATCATAAATTATTTTTATATTAAAAAGATATTAATTTTGGCATTTTTTTAATAATTCTTGTGTAATAAAACATGTATAACTTGCGTGAAAAACAATTATAAAATATTAATTAGCAATGATAAAAATATATTAAAGTACGTGCATTGAGTGCGTGTGTAACGGCGTGTAGGCGTTATTTATAAAATTACATGTAAAAATCTTTATTATATAAATTATTTTTTGAACTTCGAAATACTAATAAATTTTCATAAATTAAATATTAAAAACTCAGGATTTCAATGATAATAAAAATACATTCAATTAGCATATAATTTAATCAATTGAAGTATATAAAATGATACATATTTTAATATAAAATATGAAATATATTAATATGAAATATTAGAATTTTACGCATTCACATGCGCTAGTATATAAATGTATGGCTTAGGATGACATGTATACGTAGATTAATCGTTGACATCAGTTATTTTTTAAGTAACCTATATATTATATACAATATAAACGAATAATCTAAAACAAAAGACATTTCTCTTCCCTGCAAGATAATAATTTCAAAATGAATATTTTAAAACCAACAATGTAATTAAAATATAACTTTTTTATCTTTTGTTTTTATAAAACTTATATAGTAATACTTATTAATACTATTCATTTTTATCATTTAGTCAACGTCTAATCGCCTTTGTGGGTTCTGAATTTTTATATCCTCCAAAAAGGATATCTATAATTGACCTCGTTATATTTATAATTTTAAAAATATTATTATTATAAATAAGCAATTTATTGTCCGATAAGTCGTTCACTATCGTCATATATATATATATATACTTTCGTTTTTCCAACTCGAGTCCATCGATTTTTATAGAATCAGCCGACCCACACGAACAAATATTCAAGCGCATATCCATACAAATGTAAGCCGTAGAAGCGAAAGGTTCGATCGTGAGTGTAGTAGCGTTTCTATTTCTAAAATTGTAATAACGTCCTCTCGTAATGAATAGTAGACGCTCGAGAAGAAAAATCAACGCGCATTTACAATCCACTGTAATGCATATGCGCACGCATCGTTGCCCCACGTACGCTTCAAGTATCACAACTACCTAACCAATGTTGAGAGAACATCTGAAGTGCCCCATCACCTTTGTCTCTCTTATAAACGAGCAAGCATTGACATTCTTCAGTAATTATAAACTTAAGGGGCCGATAAAATAAAAAGCTATGCAAAACAGACAAAATAGAGGATAAAATGAGGAATTAACGACCTCTACTCTTAAGTGGAAGGAGCGAATTTGTAGGTAGTTAAACGTCTGAGATTTATGTGACTGCTACTCGAGACTGCTGAGTGGTGATTTTTAAACATTTTCCAATTTGGAAATATCTTCTACCATATTTCGTACAGCTAGAAAAAAAAATCGATAGGGAAACGGAATAAGAGAGAGAGAGAGAGAGAGAGAGAGAGAGAGAGAGAGAGAAATTAAGTTTTCTAATTTTTATTTCTAACCTTCAGATCATTATATAGTAGACAGTAACAATGTAAGATATTTAAAAAATTTATCAGTCAATAACTCTTTTCGCTTTCTGCGTGGATTATATGTATTATATATTATATTATATATTATATTATGTATTACAAATTAAATATATATTATAATATATATATATATATACTATGCTAACATTTGTTAATATATATTAATAGATTTTAATAGTGCATGTATTTTTTTATATAGGTTATTTCATATTTAATATTGTTCCTTGAAATGGATAAAATTTATCACAATTCCATGTTTTTCATGGACCTGATGTAAAATTATCTGACTTCATATTTCCAGCTTTCACTGTTTCCTAGATGACTTCTAACTCAATGAATGTCTTGTCAAGTTATACAAGCACAGAAACAAAATGTAATACAGGTAAGCTACTCGGGTCATTGCTCTTAATTACTAGTATTATGAAATAAACTGTTTTACATATAGTAAAAATCATATCAAGGAAGTATATTAAATAGTTAATAAATTCATGGTATAAAATATTGTTAAAGAAAATTCTTTTTACAAATTTTTACAAAGTAACGTTAAAATAAAAAATATTTTTTTTTAAATATTATACGATATTATTTTATTTTAAAATAATATGGTATAATTGTACGAAATCTTAAATTCATCGCTACAAATACGTTATTTTAACCGTAACTATTATTTAATTATGGAATACAAGTTTCTATACCCTCCAATGCATAAAATGTGTAAGTTGGAATTGGCAAATGTTTTTCCCGTGAAAATTATTAATGAAAAAAACTGTCAATTTAATTAAATTGTCGAGTTAGTAAAAATATTCTATACTTTTATACATATAATATTTAAAATATAATTTATTATTTAATCATCAATGAAACCAATACGTCGAATGTCGTTGAAAGCGCTGTTTCACATG